TTGACTTGCAAAGGAATAAAGAACATAAAGAAAACATAACCATTTGGAATTGTTTTTTAAAAATTGCCTAAAATATCAATGGTTTCAAACCATGCTGCATTCTTTTTTAAAAACTTTTATTTAATGAATATAAATTTCCAAAGTACAGCTTATGGATTATAATGGCTCCCCCCCAACTTCCCTCCCTCCCGCAACCCTCCCATCTCCTGCTTCCTTTTCCCTTCCATTCACATCAAGATTCATTTTCAATTATCTTTATATACAGAAAATCAATTTAGCATAGATTAAGTAAAGCTTTCAACAGTTTGCACCCACACAGAAACACAAAGTGAAAAATACTGTTTGAGTACTAGTTATAGCCTTAAATCACAATGTACAGCACATTAAGGACAGAGATCCTACATGAGGAGTAAGTGCACAGTGACTCCTGTTGTTGACTTTACAAATTGACACTCTTGTTTATGGCATCAGTAATCACCCTAGGCTCTTGTCATGAGTTGAAAGGCTATGGAAGCCTTTTGAGTTCACCGACTCTTATCTTATTTAGACAAGGTCATAGTCAAAGTGGAAGTTCTCTCCTCCCTTCAGAGAAAGGTACCTCCTTCTTTGATGACCTGTTCTTTCCACTGGGATCTCCCACGCGGAGATCTTTCATTTAGGTCATTTTTTTTTTTGCCAGAGTGTCTTGGCTTTCCATGCCTGAAATACTCTCATGGGCTTTTCAACCAGATCTGAATGCCTTAAGGGCTGATTCTGAGGCCAGAGTGCTGTTTAGGACATCTGCCATTCTATGAGTCTGCTGTGTATCCTGCTTCCCATGTTGGATCATTCTCTCCCTTTTTCATTCTATCAGTTAGTATTTGCAGACACTAGTCTTGGTTATGTGATCTCTCTGATTCTTAGTCCTATCATTATGATCAATTGTGAATGGAAATTGATCACTTGGACTAGTGAGATGGCATTGGTACATGCCACCTTGATGGGATTGAATTGGAATCCCCTGGTATGTTTCTAACTCTACCATTTGGGGCAAGTCAGTTTGAGCATGTCCCAAATTGTACATCTCCTCATCTCTTATTCCCACTCTTATATTTAACAGAGATCACTTTTCAGTTAGGTTTCAACACTTGAGGATAACTGTATTGATTACAGTATTCAACCAATAGTATTAAGTAGAACAAAAAAATATTAAAAGGGATAAAGTATTAAGTTGTTCATTAACAGTCAGGGCAAGGGCTGATCAAGTCACCGTTTCTCATAGTGTCCATTTCACTTCAACAGGTTTCCCCCTTGGTGCTCAGTTAGTTGTCACCAATCAGGGAGAACATATGATATTTGTCACTTTGGGACTGACTTATTTCACTCAGCATAATGTATTCCAAATTCCTCCATCTTGTTGCAAATGACTGGATTTCATTGTTTTTGACTGCTGTATAGTATTCTATAGAGTACATGTGCCATAATTTCTTTATCCAGTCTACTGTTGATGGGCATTTAGGTTGGTTCCAGGTCTTGGCTATTGTGAATTGTGCTGCGATAATCATTAGGGTGTAGACCGCTTTTTTGTTTGCCAATTTAAATTCCTTTGGGTAAATTCCAAGGAGTGGGATGGCTGGGTTGAATGGTAGGGTTATCTTCAGGTTTCTGAGGAATCTCCAGACTGACTTCCATAGTGGCTATACCAGTTTGTATTCCCACCAACAGTGGGTTAGTGTCCCTTTTTCCCCACATCCTCTCCAGCATCTGTTGTTGGTAGATTTCTGCATGTGAGCCATTCTAACCGGGGTGAGGTGAAACCTCATTGTGGTTTTGATTTGCATTTCCCTGATTGCTAGTGATCCTGAACATTTTTTCCTGTGCCTGTTGGCCATTTGGATTTCCTGTTTTGAAAAATGTCATTAAGGTCCTTGGCCCATCTCTTAAGTGGGTTGCTTGTTTTGTTGTTGTGGAGTTTTTTGATCTCTTTGTAGATTCTGGTTATCAAGTCTTTATCTGTTGCATAGTTTTCAAATATTTCTTCCCATTCTGTCGGTTGCCTCTTCACTTTCCTGACTGTTTCTTTTGCAGTACAGAAACTTCTCAATTTGATGCAATCCCGATAGTTAATTTTGGCTTTGACTGCCTGTGCCACCGGGGTCTTTTCTAAGAAATCTTTGCCGGTACCTATACCTTGCAGGGTTTCTCTTGATCAATAACTTGATGGTGTCAGGTTGTAGATTTAAGTCTTTAATCCATGTTCAGTGGATTTTTGTGTAAGATGAAAGGTAGGGGTCTTGCTTAATGCTTCTGCACGTTGAAATTCAGTTTTCCCAGCACCATTTATTGAATAGACTGTCCTTGCTCCAGGAATTGGTTTTGGATCCTTGATCAAATATAAGTTGGCTGTAGATGTTTGGATTGATTTCTGGTGTTTCAATTGTGTTCCATTGTTCTATCCATCTGTTTCTGTACCAGTACCATGCTGTTTTGATAACAACTGCCCTGTACTATGTCCTGAAATCTGGTATTGTGATGCCTCCGGCTTGTTTTTGTTGTACAAGATTGCTTTAGCTATTCGAGGTCTCCTGTGTCTCCATATGAATTTCAGCATCATTTTTTCCAGATCTGAGAAGAATGTCTTTGGTATCTTGATTGGTATTGCACTGAATCTACAAATTGCTTTTGGAAGAATGGACATTTGATGATATTGATTCTTCCAATCCATGAGCATGAAAGATTTTTCCTTTTTTTGGTATCCTCTTCTATTTCTTTTTTTAAGGTTTTGTAATTTTCATCGTAGAGATCTTTAACGTCCTTGGTTAAGTTTATTCCAAGGTATTTGATTGTTTTTGTGGCTATTGTGAATGGGATTGATCTTAGCAGTTCTTTCTCAGCTGTGGCATTGCCTGTGTATACAAAGGCTGTTGATTTTTGTGCATTGATTTTTTATCCTGCTACTTTTCCAAACTCTTCTATGAGTTCCAGTAGTCTCTTAGTAGAGTTCTTTGGATCCCCTAAATAAAGAATCATATCATCTGCAAAGAGGGATAGTTCGAGTTCTTCCTTCCCAATTTGTATCCCTTTAATTTCTTTTTCTTGCCTAATGGCTCTGGCTAAAACTTCCAGAACTATATTGAATAGCAGTGGTGAGAGTGGGCATCCCTGTCTGGTACCAGATCTCAGTGGAAATGCTTCCAACTTTTCCCCATTCAATAGGATGCTGGCTGTGGGTTTTTCATAGATTGCTTTGATTGTATTGAGGAATGTTCTTTCTATACCCACTTTGCTTAGAGTTTTCATCATGAAAGGGTGTTGAATTTTATTGAATGCTTTCTCTGCATCTATTGAGATAATCATATAGCCCATGCTGCATTCTAAAATCACCTGGAGGAATACAGATAGCTTATTCTAGTCTTGATCAATGAAACCATAATTATGGTGGGTGAGTAGGGGTCAGGTGTAGGAATGTTTCAAAGTACTTCAGTGACTTTATTTATAGTAAAATGACTTTTTCATTTTAATATTTAAGATCTGCTCTTTGTCATAAATAGAGGAGTATAATAGTACAGTGAAGAGAAGGGACACAATCCTAATCCTTTTAATCTAATATATCATTGGTGTGGGATAATCTTCAGAAGGAGAAATACATATTCACTTTGATACCATGGAATATGCCAACATTTGGAGAAGCGAAGTCCTAAATCTCTGGCTGGCTCTGAGATTTTGGCAGGCCTGGGGGCACTTTTGGCAAATGTGTGCCAGACTCAAATGTAGTTGCATCTTACCTCCTCACTGCTTTCCTGGATTCCATGTTATTGAACCATTGGCAGAGCAGTGTAGTGTACCCAGAACACAACACAAGCATAAGACACAAAAGTTATGTGTGATATACAAATAGATGATTTAGTGGAGGAATCATTGTGGTAATGATCCTGTAATTTTACTAGTCTAGAATAACTCCCTTGTTATTTGACATGGTTTTATCAAGGGTCGGTGTGCAAAGTTTTCAGAGGGATAACTTGGAGTCTGTTGGGAAATTAAGTCCATTTTATGAGCATACCTTTCTGAGGGCAAAACTCAATTTGTTGTTCATATTATGTGCATATAGTATGGCCAATTACAAATATTTCAGAACCAGTGATATTCATCTGGTGACAAATATGAATTGGGGAATGGAGAAGCCCCAGTGTCTCAACCTCATGCAATTTTCAATACCATCTCTAGGTTGACAGCTATTACTAAGCAGCAAGATGGATAGATTTGATTTTTCTATGTTTTAAATGTACCTGCAAATGTCTGAATTCTTTCATTTCCAAATGGATTTATTTTTCATAGAGGTTACTTGAATGTTCAGAATCTCAAACTAATTGTTTCTATTACACCTGCATGCACAGTCTAATTTACAAGTCAAGGCCTGTGGTGTAATTACTCTACATTCAGTACTGTGAGTTTTGTGATAGACACAGTAACAAGGGAACAACCATTCCAGAGGTGTTAAAAGTAAAGGAAGATGCAAATATTCATGACTCATACCACCTTAAATGTGAAGGCATGAGAGACAAAGACATAGAGAGGAAATGAAGGGAAATGTTGATGATCCCCTTGGGCACTTGTTTATTCACTTTAGGTAATTGTGGGATTGCCACAGAAAACTTCTCCAGCAGTTTTCAAATGCTTAATTAGGTCCTTCTTTTGGAAAATAGCCATTTGTTAAGGTGAAAATCATCAAATGCATGATAATTCAGGTCATATTTTCTCATGGAGAAGGGTATGTTTTGACATTGTGAATAGTATTAATGCTATGATTTTCTTATACAGTGCACTGAGATAGAAGGAAAGTGAAGTCTCTGAAATAAAAGAAGGCATATGTGGTTCATGTGATATTGAATAGCATTGAGAGTGGCTGCATTCGATGTGCTGTTTGTGTCATGTTTTTCAGAATCCGAATTTTTAAGCCTATTGTTGGCTGGGAGCAACCGTGAAGAATGTGATCTGCCGCATGGTGCCACTGCCTTCCCTACCTTGAAGACAGTTGCTACCACAATAGGGCATGCGTTTTCCCAGTCAACCCGCTCTCCAGCATTCAATTTCTCCTTTAAGGCTAGACAGTCTTTAAAGTTAGCACATTTGCTGAAGATGGCCTTTGTGGCAGGACCTTTTCGATCAATTATGAAAAGCATATCCTGTGGGTAAAATGAAAGAAATGATATTATATGACCTTTCATAGTCATAAGCCCAGAGTGGAAGTATATTTCTGTTAAGATAGATAGTTAAAATATGTGAGCTTTCAGGTCTGGAGGCACATAATGAAACCAACACTAGAATTTCCATTTTTGTGTCTCTGAATACATTTTGGAACAGCAGTAGCCCGTATTCGTATCTGATATTCACAGAGTAAAATATCTTAGATGCCTAATTTCACACTAGTGTTCTTTTCAGGATGTTTGAGATCTAAAATTCAAGTTCTCTGCATCAAGGCCTCTACAGAATCATCTTGTAATTTTCCATTCTGTATTTTCTTCACAAATATCAATCACAGTCCCCAAGTGTGAGCAAATTTGTGCTAGATGCAATTCCCAGTTTATTATCCTTATGGTTACTACATACCTCATCCCTACCTTCCTATACTTCCAATTCTCTTTTTAAACTAAAACTCGACACCTTGATGAGGCCTTCATTGATTGTATTCCCTTCCCATCAGTCTTTCATTTCCTATTGCTCTATCTTCATGTCCAGTACAGAAATAGAATAAGAATCAGAATAACACAACCAAAGGCATTGTCCATATATTATGCCACCCTTTTTACATCAGTGACCTAAATACAACGGCACATTAAGTCTTCATTGTTTAGTAAGGCGTGCATGATGAAACACATAGACACTCCCTACATTTTCTGTGAATATGGCAACTTATACCATGCCGAAAAATTTCTTCACACATAGACTAAAATTCTCTACATGTGAGCTGGCACAGATAACGGACACTCAGCAGATGTTACCACTGCAAACTTAATCATTCTCAGTTATAAAGGTCCAAAGCTGTAGGCTTCATGTGACAGGATGTGTCACAAGGAAAGGATGAATACATGCTAAAGAGTGAATTTTTGTATTGAAACACTTGAGAGATAAAGGAAATAGAGGTGAGATATGATGAGTTGTCAGAGTGAGTATCCTACATTAAGAGGAAAGGAAAGAAAATGTGAGTTGTGCAGTGTTCAGCTTCTGAAGAGGCCAACAGGAGAATGGGAAGGGGAAATGGCCTCACCGAGAATCAGAAACCCAAGCCTATTCTGATTTTCTGCATAGGTGTATGTGGTGTTTGCTGATGCCAGTGCTGTAGACACAGTCTGTTTCTGTCTGTTGTGTTTGTCTCTCCACAGGGCAAGAACTAAGATACATTCAGTGAATAGTGTGGGCAAAGTTTGTCACCCAAAGTTAGCAGCTTTCTCATGACTTCTCCATTTGAGGATATATAGGGGTGAAGAGATAGCACCTCACTAAGTACACTCAACAATACTGGGCCATAGAGGATCGAGTGGGGATTTACCAGAATTGGCTTTGGCAGCTTGTCATCTTTGCAAACATCTTGTAGAATTGATCCAAATATCTTTGCTTGCTGGTATGTGGGCGTAGAAGTTTCTGGTGCCACCTTGCTGTGTTTTCTGCCCCTGATATGCTCAGACAGCCACTTTTTAACGGAACGCCGTTTCTGAGTTGGCTTCTGGTGTGGATCTGAAGGAGGAGGCAGACTCTCAGCATTTCCAGATGACTCCATGTTTCCTGAAATGGCTAGAAAAAAAGAAGACAGTGAGCCAGTGGTTACATAGAAAGGCCTGAACTCTGAAATTTGTTCAAAGCACTCATGCAGTGTGGATGTATTCTACTTCTATGCCTTTGATGAAATGGTAGTGAAACCTAGAGCCTGAACAGTGTTGAGTTCAGTTCTTACTGTGGGTGTACTTCCTGGACAGTGCTAGCCACAGCCTGTTTTACTGCAGTGAGAGGTGCTTAGTATTACTATAATCAGTGAGCTCATGAGTCAGATCACTTTTCAAAAGATAAAAGGCATTCTGTATGCAAATAAAGTTAAAATTCATAATCACATATATTCATAGTAAGTCTCCTTCAATTCAACTTCAATTATTTTTCTAACAAAATTAACTTAAATATAAGTATTGGTTTCAGGAGCTGGTTTGCTGCCATGTAAACAGGAGAAGAGGATTAATTTCCCTCATTACTTTGGCCCAGCTTAGGCCCCAGAACTGCAGTTATTGTGGGTACGAACCAGCAAACAAGATTTGCTCACCAGTGTCTGTCTCTCTGGGTCCATTTTCTTGATTATTTACTTATTTATGTGAAAGGCAGAGAGAGAAAGAGACAGAGAGAACTTTTTCCCATCAACTGTCTTACTCCACTATTGATTGCAATAGTTAATGCCGGGTTAAGCAAAGCCAGGATCCAGAAATCTACACTGATGTCCGACAAGGGTGCAGAGGCTGAAGAACTTGTGTCATCATTTGCTGACTTCCAGTGACATCAGCAGGGAGTCGGACTGGAAGTTAAGTAGCTGAGACTTGAACTTGCACTGGGGTACTGGTGTCACAGTAGCAGCTAACTCATTGTACCACAATGCCAGCCCCAACTCTTTTATCCGAATAATTAAGAAAATAAACTCAGGCTTAAATTCCATACATAGAGCTGCTTTCTGAAGTATACTCAAATGGTAGGGTTCCCTTAAACTTATGTGAGAAAGGATCCAGCTACTATATCATAGACTATGAAGTCTCTTTTTGTTTTGTCAGTACAAGTTATACATTTATTTTAATGTGCTTTTTAAAAAGAGCTAGTGCATACAAGTGGTACATATTAATTAAACAAAAGACAGAAGACACAAATAAGTAAACATAAGAAAATAAAATTCACTCGTAATCCTAACCAGCCAACCATGAGTATGAACCAAAATATTCACTCATTAACATTTATTTTATATGATTGTTCAAAAATTATGTATTATTTTAAAATTTGATTTTGTTTAATTAGTGGTGCATCTTTATAGTGTAATACTGATTACAAAGAGGTATCATTGACTCTACCTTAGTTTACTCAACTAATTTACTGGACATTTGGATCACCTCCAATATCTTTTTTTTAATGAATATAAATTTCCAAAGTACAGCTTATGTATTACAATGGCTTTTCCCCCAATAACTTCCCTCCCACCCGCAACCCTCCCCTTTCCCACTCCCTCTCCCCTTCCATTCACATCAAGATTCATTTTCAATTCTCTTTATATACAGAAAATCCGTTTAGCATACATTAAGTAAAGATTTCAACAGTTTGTACCCACACAGAAACATAAAGTGAAAAATACTGTTTGAGTACTAGTTATAGCATTAAATCTCAATGTATAGCACATTAAGGGCAGAGATCCTACATGAGGAGTAAGTACACAGTGACTCCTGTTGTTGACTTTACAAATTGACACTCTTGTTTATGGCATCAGTAATCACCCTAGGCTCTAGTCATGAGCTGCCAAGGCTATGGAAGTCTTTTGAGTTCACCGACTCTTATCTTATTTAGACAAGGTCATAGTCAAAGTGGAAGTTCTCTCCTCCCTTCAGAGAAAGGTACCTCCTTCTTTGATGACCTGTTCTTTCCACTGGGATCTCCCTCGCAGAGACCTTTCATTTAGGTCATTTTTTTTTTTTTTTTTGCCAGAGTGTCTTGGCTTTCCATGCCTGAAATACTCTCATGGGCTTTTCAGCCGGATCCGAATGTTGTTAGGGCTGATTCTGAGGCCAGAGTGCTGTTTAGGACATCTGCCATTCTATGAGTCTGCTGTGTATCTCGTTTCCCATGTTGGATCATTCTCTCCCTTTTTTGCTCTATCGGTTAGTATTTTCAGACACTAGTCATGATTATGTGATCTCTCTGATTCTTAGTCCTAATTATGATCAATTGTGAATGGAAATTGATCACTTGGACTAGTGAGATGGCATTGGTACATGCCGTGTTGATGGGATTGAATTGGAATCCCCTGGTATGTTTCTAACTCTACCATTTGGGGCAAGTCAGCTTGAGCATGTCCCCAAATTGTACATCCCTTCCCTCTCTTATTCCCACTCTTATATTTAACGTTGACTATGAAGTCTCTTAATGCTCCTGAAATCTGGGCCTCGCCTTACATTTCCATCACTTCACAGGTGTAAGTTTGAAACCTGAGGCCAGCTTGTGATGAGGGAACATACTGCTCCCTGGGCCCCTCACTGTGGTCCTTTAGACATGCCCTGGTCTCCCAGGTAGACACTGTGTGAACATCATTCATGATCCCACCAGTATGTCCATCTACTTGCCATCAAAGGCACTTAAATGAATCATGGTACCCGAAACTTTCTGGTAGTGGTCCTTATATTCTGGGTGATCTCTGATGGTGGAAGTGATGCTGTCTCCAAAAATCTCAGAACAGTGGTCAAGCAAGAATTGTACAAGAGCAACCTGAAAAAAAGAGCAAAAAGTGGTTGATGTAGGTTTACTTTGGCATCAAGAGAAATCATATTTTGTATATGAATCTTGGGTCTTACAAAAATTTGAAAATCAGAAGAGAAAAATTCAGAGCTGTCATAAAATACATAAACCTATTTTCTATATGAAATGTCAGATTCTTTGAGTTTTAGGGGACAAATCTTTAAGTACTTCTAGTCAATGCATTAACATTATTATTTATGGCTTAACTAGTTTTTAGCATTTTATTTCAATGACAGTATGTTTAGAAATATTTTAATTCAATTAACATTCCCTAGGATAATTGCAATGAAGATGTGTATTCTTGTCCTAAAATTTGTAAAGGACCCAGTAGATACACATTTGGAAAATTCACTTCCTGTGTAAAGTGTTGTCAACATGTGGAGCAGGGTATCTCAGTGTGTTCTTCTGACAAGAAAGTAGGCTGTTGGAGGGGCTGGTGCTGTGGCATAGCAGGTAAGCTGCCACCTGCAGTGCCGGCATCCCAAATGGGTGCTGGCTCGAGGCCTGGCTGTTCCAATTCAGATCCAGCTCTCTGCTATGGCCTGGGAAATCAGTAGAGGATGGCCAAGTCCTTGGGCTCCTGCATCTGCGTGGGAGACCTGGAAGAAGCTCCTGGCTCCTGGCATCAGAATGGCGCAGCTCTGGCCATTGCAGCCAATTGGGGAGTAAACTAGCAGATGGAAGACCTCTCTCTCTCTCTCTCTCTCTCTCTCTCTCTCTCTTTCTCTCTCTCTCTCTTTGCCTCTCCTTCTCTCTCTGTATAACTCTGACTTTCATATAAATAATATAATAAATCTTTATGAAAAAAGAAAGTAGGCTGTGGAGACAGAAATTTCTGATAGTGTGTCTTTGCACACTGTCATACATCACCCCAGCCTTGCTTTCCAGATCAGCTTGGGGAAAGGCTAATGTCCTATTTGGCATATAGAAGCTCCCAATTGCACATTCCAATGGCAGAGATGAACCCATTATTATTCTGAATCACAATTAGCACAGAAAGTTCATAGCATGTGTCCTCATTTTCCAGGCCTACTAAGCAATTTCACTCAGCTCCTTTGGTATTGTAACTACTGAAATTATTATATGATCAAAGCTTGGCCTGAAATGATTGTTAAATATCAGATGAGACTCAAATTTAAAACTTGTTTTGTCCATCTCCAAGGTCCAAATTAATTTCTATCACATTGTTTCACCTTCCCCTCTGTGATATCTTCAATCTGGTGTTCTGATCTTTCATAGGAATGAAATGACTCCCTGCTCCCAAAGTCCTACCTAATGCCTCACCCACCCGTAACTGCAACAAAGGATAAATAGCTGCCTCTGCAGAGGAGTACCTAACACGTGCAATTAGCAAATACTCCATCAGAACTAAGATACTAAATTTTAGGATCAAAGTGGAGACTGTACTCCATAGGAAATAAAAATTACCTTTTTCTCCCATTCCGTTGCTATATCTAGGATGCTGGCAACTGGTGGCCATAGAAGACTTGGGGTAATGCACCATGCCAAGTTAGAACTTGTCATCTCCTTTGAGGGTGATTTCTGTGAAATCTTGTGTAAACAGTGAAAGAGAGATTGCAGGAGATGAACGTTTGGTTTGGGCAGCTGTGCTAAAAGCCTGAAAACAGAAAAAGGCATCATTAAAGCAAGAATTTTAACTCAGGATATTTTCCTCCTTCTATACCATTGGTAAAATACAACAAAAATAGTGGAGAAAATGTACCAAATTTCATATCTAAGTTAACAGAAGCATACTTGAAACATTCTTCCACTTTAGAATGTGGCCAATTATAAAGCCTACTGAATGAAAACAGAAGTGGAAAACAATGCACTCTTCTGATTTATAAAGCAATAGCACAAGAATGCTGCTTTGTGACAAGAGATAAAAGGTCTTCATTTATCTTGAGTGACAAGCCAGGTATGAATCCTAGGAAAATGTTTTGTTGAATTCAATTCTTGATCACCTGTAGACTTCTCTGGTTCACTATCTATTTGGCACCATTAAACAAAAATCACCAGCTGATTTGTCCTCTACCAATGGATTTACTGGGGCCGGGGCTGTGCACAAAGGGTTAAAGCCTAGCCTGCAGTGCCTGCATCCAATACTGGCTCTGGTGTGGGTCCTGGCTGCCCCATTTCCAATCCAGTTCCTTGCTAATGTGCATGGGGACGCACTGAGGATGGCCCAAGTTTTTGGGACACTGTGCCCACATGGTAGACCTGGAAAAAGCTCCCTTGCTCCTTGCTTCGAATCAACTCAGCTCCGGGAGTGAACCAGCAGATGGAAGGCCTCTCTCCTTCCTCTGTCTCTACCTCTCTCTGTAACTCTTTCAAGGAAATAAAATAAATGTTTAAAAAAACCAATGGATTTACTCCTGTATCAGTGTCATATATTCAGGATGTGTACAAAGATGAAGGATGTTAGGAGAAAAACAAAAGCTGAATGGCAGTAGCAAGGAATGCATTTCTTTCTAAACTGGTGTCCACACGTGTGACAAAATCAAAGTGCTGACATTGGTGATAATGTAAGTGGATAAAAGGGTAAATTTCAAGCTGATACTTTGCTGAGAGAATGTTGCTTGTACTTTTGTGGCATACGGAAAAGAATAAGTATCACATCTTTACCTCTTACTCATGGCTATCTTGGCTTCCTCATTTCCTTCATCCAGAACACCAATGAATTTTTCATAGAAATTGACTGTAAGTATGCTTCCAGGTATGTTTTGAAGTAAATCCTTTTATAGATAAAAACATGTATTATTCTCATGGAACATGCATGTGTTAGCATCCTAAAAATTAAACAGTGACGTTTAATCCTCAACTGCTTCAGTGCTACCCAAACTGATTCACACAGAGCTTGGCTACAACTCTCCACCAATTTCAAGATGTAGCAGCATGAGCTTGGATTTCCCGATGAAATGCGTCAGCATAAAATCAGGGTGTGGACAGCAGCGACTCTGAAAAACAGTCTCCTCTCATATCTGACACTCCCTTTTTATGTACGATTGAGGAAACTAGTACAGAGTTATAAGATCTCATGATACACCATTCTTGCTTCTGTTGTTTTCTTGACATAAAATGGAGTACACACATTTTACCTGTTCATTTCAGGTCATGACATTTTAGTTCTTAACAGGAATGGTTCAAAATCAAGTAATACCCCCTCTCATGCATTTCTGCTAATACAGAAGTGAGGGTTCAGCCCTCTACCTTGAGCTGTGTGCTCAAGGGAAGAAACTTCCACAACAAACTCAGCCTTCTTTCCTTTTTAGAAATTCTGTTCAGTTTTACATAGAAATTTCTTTCGTATGTTACCGAATTTTCCATACGTGGCTACAAGTTATTTTTTACACGCTTTGCTGGAATCAGTAAGTGGTATTCACTACATTATTGGTGTGCAACAACCTCCTGTAGGAGACAGGCATCAGTTTTTGTACCATGGAACATGCTATGAGTTTGGAGAAGAGAAGTGCTAAACCTCTGATTGGCTCTGCATTTAGGCAGGCCTGGGAACATCTTTGGCTAATGTGTACTAAACTCACATGAGGTGGCATCCCATCTTCTTTCTAATTTTCTGGTCCCATGATTTTGAGCCATTGGTGGACTCAGAACACAACCCAAGCAAAAACTGCCAAATCTATTTGCACTATGCAAATAGATTATTCAATGAAAAAAATCATTGTGGTACTGATCCTATAGCTTTTACAACCTAGAAGAATTCCCCAGCGTTTGACATGGTATTATAAAGGCCCAGATTGGAAAGTCTTCAGAGGAATAGTCTTGAACCTGACTTGAATGTCAATTTCATTTATGAACATACCTTTCTGAGGCCAACATTCACTTTGTTGTTTTTATTATGGTATATAACGTGTGGTCAGTTACCAATCATTACTGAACATGTGCAACTTATCTGACAGAAAAAGGGGAATTCGGAGATAGGGAAGCCCGTGTCCAAATCTCAAGGAATTTTCAGAAACATGTATAGGTTCACAGCTATTATTAAATACTAAAACTGATGGATTACATTCTTTCTATGTTCTACTACTTCCCCTTATGGATATGCACCTGCATATATTTGGCTTAGCTCTTTTATTTCCAAACACATTTGTTTTTCATGGATCCATTGAATGCTTGCAGTATCAGACTAATTGTATCCACCGCATTTGCATTCATAGTTTGACTTCCAAATCAAGTTGTGGTGGCAGTAAATTTCTCAGTATTCCTTGCAGTGGGTTGTGTGGTGAACACAGTCATAACTGGGCCAGCATTCCAGAGGTAGTAAACATGGAGGAAGGCACAACTGCTGGAACAACTCAAACGACTTTGAATATGAAGGAGTAAGAGACAAAGGAAAGCATGATGAAGAAACAAGTGGACATTCAGATGTGCCTTTTGGCTGTTGCTGATTCATATTAGGAAATTGTGTGCTTGCCATAGAAATCTTCTCTAACAGTATTCAAATTCTTGATAAGTGTTTTGTTTTGCTTTGTTTGAAGATGGACATGTGCTAGAAAAACAGGGTAAAGTCATCAGATAAAAGATGCTGCTTTGGGTCACCATTCTTCATGGAGAAGGGTATGTTTTGGCATTGTTTTGTGAATAGTATTAACAATGCTACAGTATTTCCCATAGAGTGGGAAGGAGAGCGAAGTCTCTGAACTCAAAGCAAATGTAAACTATGAAGTTTTGAACAGCCTGGAGACTGTCTTCACTTAACGTGCAGTTTGTGTCATGTTTTTCAGAATCTGAATTCTTTATGCCTATTCATGGCTTGGGATAAACTTGGTGAAAATAATGCAACACTGGGCTTCCATACCATGCATGGATGATGTCAGTACTTCCCCTACCTTCAAGACAGTTGCTACCACAATAGGGCATGCGTTTTCCCAGTCGACACACTCTCTGGAATTTAATTTCTCCTTTAGAGCTAGACGGTCTTTAAAGGTGGCACATTTGCTGAAGATGGCCTTTGTGGCAGGACCTTTTTGATCAATTATGAAAAGCATATCCTATGAGTAAAATGGAAGAAATGATATTATATGACATTTCATATCCATAAGCACAGAAAGCCAGTGTATCCTGTTACAGCATTGGTGAGGTTTCAGGTCTGCAGGCACATAATGAAATCAACACTGAAAAATTTTATTTTGTTATATCTCTACATTTTGGAACACCAACCATTCATATTCATATCTGATATACCACAAAAAACAACTGAGGTGTAGATCTTACAATACGGCTCTTTCTGGGAATTTTATACTTTAAAATCCAAATTCTCTGCTGGAAAACTGCTATTGGATCATCCTCTTGTAAATTACCGTTCTGTGCTCAATCTTCTCAAATATCAGTGATTATCCCTAAGTGCAGCATCTTTGTGCTAACTGCATTTCCAAATTTGTTATCTTGCTGGTGACTATACACTTCATCTCTATCCTCCTATAGTTTCAATTCTCTTTTTAAACTAGGCTTACACCTGTCATCTTGCGGAAGCCTTCTTTGAATGCATTCCCTGCTCGCCAATATTTCATCTGCTACTGCTCTATCTTCATGTCTAGTGCAGAAGAGGAATAAGCATCATAATAAGACGACCCAAGGCATTGTCCACTCATTTAATCAGTGACACTAGACAGAACAGAACACTAAAGCTTCCCTTTATTCATTTGGTGAGATGTGGATGATGACACACGTAGATGCCCCCTACACTTTTTGTGAAAGAGCTAAATCTAGTGCAATATATACCGAGTATCTAAACTGGTGAAGTTCCTTGAATACAGAGTAAAATTCTCTAGACTGCATGTTTAGCTGGCAGAGATAATGGACGCTCACAAAATGTTATCACTGGAAGCTTTAATATAATTCTCAGTTACACAGACCCAAATCCGTATATTTCATTTTACAGGATGTGTTAGGATGGAAAGATGGATACATACTGGAGGGTGAATTTTTGAGTTGAAGCACTTCAGAGGGAAAGAAATACATGTGAGATACGATAAGTTGTCCAAGTGAGTATCCTACACTAAGAGGAAATGAAAGAAGACTTCAGCTGAGCAGAGAGTTCAACTTCTGAAGAAACCAGCAAGAGAGTGTGAAGGGGAAGTGGACTTAGACTCAGACATCCAGAGCACATTCTAATTTCTCTGCACAGGTGTGTGTGGTATTTGCTGATGCCAGTAATACAGAGTCTGTTTCTATCTGTTATCTTTGCCTCTTCACAGGTCAATAACTAAATCAGACTATTCGATGTGCAGTGTGGACAAAATTTGTCACACAAAGCCAGCAGCTCTCTCATGATTTCTCCATTTGAGGAAATATTACCTCACCAAGTACGCTCAACAACATTGGGCCATAGAACACTAAACTGAGACTTACCAAAATTGGCTTTGGCAGCTTGTCATTTTTGCACACATCTTGCAGGGGGGACCCAAATAGTGGTGCTTGCTGGGATATGGGCAGATCAGGTGCTGGTGCTGGTACCAACTTGTTGTGGTTTCTGCCTAAGACATGCCGACATAGCCTCTTTTTAGTGGAATGCTGTTTTTGAGTAAGCTTTATGTGAGAATCTGTGGAAGAAGTGAGATGGTTAGATGCAGAGTTCCATTCATGGAACCTCATTTCTACCATTTCTAGATGACTGTACATTTCCTGAATTGGCTAGAAAAAAATGAGTCAGCTGTTGCATAGAAAGGTCTATATTCTGAAATTTGTTTCAAAACACACATTCGTGTGCTAAGAATGCATTCTCATTCCCCACCACTTAGGAATTAGTGAAACCTAGAACCTGAACAGACTTGGGTTCAATTCACACTGTGGGAGTACTTCCTTGAGAGCCAACCACAGCCTGTTGTATCATATTAGGAAGTGCTTGGTATGCTGAGGTACAAATATCCTGATGTCAACCGTAATCAGTAGGCTCATGGGTCAGATATCTTTCCAAATATTCATAACCACATGCTTTCAAAGTAGGGTTTCTACGTCTTGAGGTTTCCTCCACTATTTTGAATGACATGCATTGCCAAGTATCTCACATCAGAACTCTGTCATTTCTGACACAGCTTCACTCAAGAGGGCTGCAGCATCAAGTCACAACCCTTGGTTGCGTGGGATGATCCTCCATTGCCTTTTCATTCTAATCCCTGGCCAAGTAAACCAAATCATTTTGACTAGTCAGCAACGTCAGCAAAGTCAGTGCTGACCAACAGCTGCTTTTCAAAGCAAAAATAGCTGACGTTAAAGTGTCTCCTATGCAGCTGTGCACACTTTCTCAATAAGTTGCATTAATTTTTCATCCTATAAACTCACTTACCAAGTACCTTCCATTTTCACCTGCATAGCTGAGATATAATCTGATTAACTAATGGGCAAGGTTTCTCTAGAAAAGTTTTATCACACTTCAGTTCATGGAGTACATTATCACTTCATATATGAGATCATAGTGGTGAGTCAGAGAAAACAAGATGACTCTATTGGGCAAGCAAATCAAAATTTGGTGATTTTCAAATTGCTCATCTTAGACGTGATTGATGCTACTTACATCTTTGGGGACTTGGTAATAGAATACTCAACAGGCTTCTTACTCTTGGCATCCTTGACGAAAGCAACTTTCTCTCTCATTCATTTGACCCAAGAGAGCCTACACCTAGTTCTCCTCCCCCAGTAGTACATTTCATTCCAGTTCTCCATCTCATGTAGTAGCCTCTGGGATAGATACACAGTCATAAAACAATGCCACCTCTACCTAGAACTCATACACCTACCATTTTCAAATGAAGAAGGAAGAAACCAAATACACAATTAAATTGTTAAATTCACCCAATTCTTGGATGTCAACTTTTGTCAATGTTTGCTTCAGTTACACATGAACATATAGCTTGATTCATTTTACATAACTGGCGTCCCTACTCTTGGTCATGTATGAATAGTCAAGTTGTCAGTTGATTGCAGGCCAATGAGTAGCCCAGATGTGATCAGAGTGATCAGGTGAGCTTCTACACAAATACTAAAAGAAATAAGTAGTCAGAAAAATGTTTACAGGGGCATGTGTTATGTGGCAGTATGGTTAGTTGCCATGCAGTCATCTCATATTGTAATGCTGATTCAAGTCCTGGGTATTCTGTTCTTCATCCAGATTCCTGCTACTCCATCTGGGAAAGCAGCGAAGTGGGGCCCAAGTGCTCAAGCTACAGCAACACATTTGGGAAAACTACTTAAAGCTCCATTGTCTTAGCTTTGACCAGGCAGGCTGGCCATTGCTTCTATTTTAGGAATAAATCAATGGACGGAAGATCCCTTTCTTTGTCTCTTTCTCTTTTTCTCTGAAATGCTGCCTTTGAAATATGCCTTTTACAAGTGGTCACACACATGAGATAAATTACATAATCACTATTTCTTCCATAAGAATATTTACTATGATACCGTAAACCTCCCTTTCCCCCCCACCCCCTGCCTCTGCCTCTGTAACTTTGCCTTTCAAATAAATGTCTTTTTAAAAATGCAACACTGGGAGCCAGTATACAGGTGCAATGCATTGAGCCACTGCCTGTGATGCTGGCATCTCTTAAGAGTGACAGTTCATGCCCTGGCTTCTCCATTTCCAACCTACCTCCCTGCTACTGGCCTTGGAAAACAGTGTAAGATGTTACAAGTGCTTGGGTCCCTGCCACCCATGTGAGAGACCCAAATGAAGGCCCTAGTTCCCATCTTCTGCCTAGCCCTGTGCTGGCCATTGTGGCCATCTTGGGAGGTAGCCAGCAATTGGAATCTCTCCCCCTTCTGTAATTTTTTCAACATAAATATTTTAGAAGTTACAGTACCACAATAAATTCATATTTATGTTTTATAACATATGAATAGGATAATTTGAGGAACTAGGAAGGGAAAGACATCCAGTTGAAAAGACATAAGAGCAGTAGATTTTCTGCCAATATTGATGAAGTAATTAATATGAACTTTATTGTGAAGCAAGAGCAGAAGAATGGTGAATTCATTTATGCTTCATGGAAATTTGATGGAAACAATGCCACAAAAAGTCAACTCTGTGCAAATGGGTCACTCATCTCAAGAGAGGAACAGATGATGGAGAAGAAAAAACCAGCAATTACAGATTATACATGTAAATATGCAAGGAAAAAATGAATCTTGCCCATACCCTATTTGAGGAGAACTGACAAAGCAATATCCAGAGACAATGGCATAGACATTTAAGAAGTTGTGGCTTTCACAGTTTTACCAGGGAAACTCATGTTCAAAGCAAATGATGGAAAACGCTATCAAAAATGGTATGTCTCGACATAATGTTCCTCATCATAATTTTTTTGCCAGATATACATCTATTATGTGATAGAATGTGAGGATTTAATTTAATCTCAGAGAAAGCCTGCAAACATTTTGGATAAATAGTTATCAGCAAAACAATAGAAGAAACAAAGGAAAAGCAGAGTCCATGCTTATATTGAAGGTTCTACTCTTTTATATCTTAGAAAATGGACATAAAGCTGGGTAGGTCCCTACCAGTTATGGGCTTGGCATCATCCTTCAGTTGTGCCTGTTTGTCCATTGATATAATTGGCATCAAACTAATTTCAAGACTTTGTTGCATTTCTTCTGTTGAAGGAAAAACAGGTTTTTTAGTACAAATACTCTCAGATAGCAGATGCATCTCAACTTCTAAAGAAATGGATATTCCTACTTATTTCCCAAAAACAATGTTATGGTCATTAGAACAGGAAAATGAAAAAAATAGGAAGGACCTCTTCATACGTGTGCCAAAATATCCACCCCTACAAAATGGGCAGTTGGCTCTCGGCTGTATTACCTTGCTTTGAATAGTATTAGTTTCTAGGCTCACAGAAACTTCTCCTAGCCCTATTCATGCTTTTGTAAAGTAAATTTATTTTTACAACCATTGCCCTATTTTGTGCTAAGGATATCCTAAAACGCAAATATTCCAGTTATTTCTATTTTGTGATACCAAACTGAGACTGACAGAGAATATTTGCCAAAGATAACATCATTGGTAAATGATGGCACAGGTTTTGGCGCTCTTTACATCAAACTGAGTGCTTTTTCCGAGATTGTATTCCTTTAGTAACTCCTTCAATGGGCACTACAAAACTCTGTTGCCTCAGGTCCTACAGAGTGTGAGGTGGAAGGCAATATTGAAAGTCCCTCAAGGGAGTTTTATACTAACACACTTATTAAATGTCTGACAACAATCTTGTGGAGAATGAAATACTGAAAGTATTACTTTAAATTGATGCCAAAGCAATTTTCCATTCTGTGTATGTATGCCTGGGATAAAGGGAGGATGCATTACTTTGAATTCCTTAGCACTGAAATAAAATGCTATTGTAATTCTGTGTTGCCACAAAAATCTGTGAGGTACCCTTACACATATGGGATCTGCTTAAATTTAGTTAAAACGTGTTTCCAAAGTATTATCACATGATGTCTTTCATGCAGTTATAATTTGCATCAGTAACTATATTAGGTCAAAGAATTCATGGTATCTTTTCTTCATTCACAAGACAATAGGAAACCATTCCTGATCTGTTCTGGCTTTGGGACAGAGCAGACACAGCTATGGGCTATGCACTCTTGTCCTTGGGATTGGCCCTGGGAACCAGGACAGACACTGTCTAAGTACCACCCACGATCTCTGGGGACCTTGTTGTTTATTTCTCACCACAGCCAGAGAAATTTAACTGCGGACCTGCCATGCTCTCACTGTGGTCACAATCACGGAGCTCTTACCAAAGCTATGTTCATGCTTTGTGGTGTCAGAATTGAAGGGGCTCTTCCCAAAGCTGATGGGAGAAATCAGGCTGCTCTCCATCTGGCGCGCAATGATGTCATCGCTGTGTATGCAGAGGCAATTTTTGATAGGAGAATTAACAAGAGAAATCTGTGACATGAAAAAGAGGAAAAACAGGGTTGTCTTTTTTTATTTTTTTATTATTTTTTTTATTTTTTGACAGGCAGAGTGGACAGTGAGAGAGAGAGAGACAGAGAGAGAAAGGTCTTCCTTTGCCGTTGGTTCACCCTCCAATGGCCGCCGCGGCCGGCGCGCTGCGGCTGGCGCACCGCGCTGATCCGATGGCAGGAGCCAGGTGCTTCTCCTGGTCTCCCATGGGGTGCAGGGCCCAAGCACCTGGGCCATCCTCCACTGCCCTCCTGGGCCACAGCAGAGAGCTGGACCGGAAGAGGGGCAACCGGGACAGAATCCGGCGCCCCGACCGGGACTAGAACCCGGTGTACCAGCGCCGCTAGGTGGAGGATTAGCCGGCGCCGGCCAACAGGGTTGTCTTTTAAATTTGGTATAGTTATAAATCATGTGATAAATAAATTTGGACATTACAGAAATATAAAAAAGCAGGATTTTTCAAAACTTGAATTGATAAAAAAGTGCGTCAGCTTTCCACATAAACAATGATAGCTGCAAGAATATTTTCTAACTCATCTTTTTTTTTTTGACAGGCAGAGTGGACAGTGAGAGAGAGAGAGAGACAGAGAGAAAGGTCTTCCTTTTCCGTTGGTTCACCCCTTAATGGCCGCTGCGGCCAGCGCTGATCCGAAGCCAGGAGCCAGGTGCCTCTCCTGGTCTCCCATGTGGGTGCAGGGCCCAAGGACCTGGGCCATCCTCCACTGCACTCCCTGGCCACAGCAGAGAGCTGGACTGGAAGAGGAGCAACCGAGACAGAATCCGGTGCCCCAACCGGGATCAGAACCTGGTGTGCCGGCACCGCAGGCAGAGGATTAGCCTAGGGAGCTGCGGCGCCAGCCAACACTCCAAAGTTTTATTAATTTTTTGCTCTATAATTTTGCCCATCAGAATTCATTTCCTGGGGGCCGGGGCTGTGGCGCAGAGGGTTAACAACCTGGTCTGAAGTGCTGGCATCCCACACAGGAGCTGGTTCTAGTCCTGGCTGCTCCTCTTCCAATCCAGCTCTCTGCTATTGCCTGGGGAAGCAGTAGAAGATGGCCCAAGTCCTTGGGCCCCTGTACCCATGTGGGAGACCAGGAAGAAGCTCCTGGTTTCGGATCAGCTCAGCACCAGCTGTTGCGGCCATCTGGGGAGTGAACTAGCAGATGGAAGACCTCTCTGTCTCTACCTCTCTCTGTAACTCTGCATTTCAAATAAATAATGAAAAAAAGAATTCATATCCTGAATTACATTTTCCAAAAGGCATTCTGCTCCTCAGAGTACAAAAATAAAGCATCCTATTACCTCCTGGTTCTCTTCCAGTGATGAGATTCTGGAAGTTGATGGCCAATGGGAAAGCATGCTTGGAACAACGCACAATGGTGAGTTCAAAGTTGTCTTTGGATGTAATGAGGAATGTTGAAAAATTTTGGGAAAGAACCCCAACATGTACCACAAAATATCACTGGCTTTTGGAAAGTGTCTTGAGAGTCTGTAGATAGAAAATACAATCTTAAAGCAGGACATTTGACAAGGAAACAGTATGTACAGATAGACAACAGAATATTTTTAATTCCATTGACACAACCCAGTGCAAATACAGGGAAATGCAACAATGTGTCTTACAAACATTGCCTGCAAATTTGTTGAAACCCCAACCATATATTCTAATTTTGGCAACTTCTCATATCTAAATTAACAGAAGTATACTACAAACACTTTTTGCATCCCTGAACATGCTCAACTACAAGCTCACTGAAATTAAATGACACTTTAATTGAATGGGAGAATAAGACAGGAATGCTGCCTCATGGCAAAAGCCTATTATCTAACAGACTCACCGCAGGCATTAATGCATGGAAAAATCAGTCACTGAATTCAATTCCTTAATCACATGTAGCCTTATCTGCTTAGGTAACTTTGTGACAATGTTAGTATTGATAATTGGGTAATTTGGTTTAATAGCATCTCTTTGACCCATGGATTTCCTCACTGATGACAGTGGTAATCCTGTATGTCCATTGAAACTGGCTACCATGTGTGTGACAAAATCAACAATTTCATGTTGGTTAATGCTTTACTGGATAAGGCTCCAACACAGAAGCTAATAGTTCTGTGAGAAAATGTTGGTTGTATATTCCAGACATGCCCAGAGTAGAGAAATTATCACATCATCACCTTTGGATTGTAGTTACTTCTTTATCCTCATTTGCATCAGCAAGAACACCAAGCCCCTGATCCCAGAGACTGGTCACAAATATACTTTCTTTGTTAGCTTGCAGAAAAACCTTAAAAAGATGGAAAAATAAGCCACATTAACTTGTTGGCAAATACATATTGGAGAAATTACAGAGAAAACATTCTGCTGAAAGATTCTGTTTACTTTCACTTTCTTCACAGCTATACAAGCTGTCACCTACCTTGAAGGTGGGCCTTTAATTTTACAGTGATTCGCACATGCAGAAATGACTCTTCTGAATGAAATTAGAAGCATAAAAGTAGACTTTGGTGGGCAGTGTTGGGGATTGGGAACAAGGCTTGTCCTGTTGTATGGAACTTGTTTTTATGGGCATAGCAAACCTGTGCAAACTGATAGTCTGGTAATAATTTACCCCAAGTCAGACTATTTCTTGAAAACAAATAAACATTTACAGTTTGCTTGATTATTTCAGAGTTATGCCTTTACTTCCTCCAAATCTTCAAAGAAATTATATTTAGCAGTGATAGAAAATAAAGAGAAGAATATTGCATGGTGATCCATGTTCCCAGAAAAGCAAAATTCAATCACCAATAACTTCATCAAGTCTAAATGCATGTGCATGATCAAATAGTCTCATCCACAATTAAAATTAAGGGAATACCAGACAATATTTACTCTATACACCTCCTATCCATGTGCTTACAGTTGGGGCATCTTGGGGAATTTTTAAGAACAATGCTTTTAAGCATTTGAAAGGTCCTGAATCAAATGAGCTAAAAACACAGGCATTCACATCCACATGGAAACTGGAGATGGGGCCTTCTGACTTTAACTACAGGTACTCATTGAGAGAAGCTCTTCACAATAACCAGTGCTTCCACTTTTATGCTATCTAAATCTCCTGCTGTTTAACATAAGCAGAAGATTGAGGAATGCGTTCCTATCCTAATGGGCAACCCCATGCCATTCAGTATATTCCCTTATGTTGGAAATTTTGTGCATTTTTTCATTCATTTCATTTCGTTTTCATTCATTGTAACTCAAATATTTGCTTACTATCGTAGACTTCTGTAACAGTTTTCAAAAGCTTAATGTGAATTTTATTTTGAAAACTGGGCTTTCATTAAGAAGACATGGTAAAAATCCAATACAATAGATTTGGGGGACTTAAATACTCCTCTCTCAGAAATGGACAGATCAACCAGACAGAAGATCAACAAGGAAACAGCAGATTTAATCAACACTATAGCCCAAATGTATCTAATACATATCTACAGAACTTTCAATCCTACATTTAAAGATTTTACATTCTTCTCAGCAGTGCATGGAACCTACTCTAGGATTGATCACATACTAGGCCATAAAACAAGTCTCAGCAAATTCAAAAGAATTAGAATCATACCATGCAGCTTCTCAGACCACAGTGGAATGAAGCTGGAAATTAGCAACTCAGGAATCCCTAGAGAGTCAGGCACCAAACCCACTTAGGTTATCATGGACATATACTGAGACAATGAAATGTAGGATTCAAAACTGAGCTTTTCAGAAGTTTAGCATCCATTTGCAATGCTGTCGGTGAACAAGAAAATAGTTCCCTCCATCCCTCACACTCATAGGCTGCTTCATAAAAATAGGGACAATTTGCAGAAAATCACCTAATAGGGCTGAAGAGGATTTGAGATAGTATCTACTGAACTATCTGAACCACAAAAGGTAGAGTTTCAAATGAGACAATATGTAACTAAGAAATTGTAACAACATCAGAGAGATCCACAATGAGGTCTGGATCTGAGATCCTCTGAGAAAATAAAAAGCTTAAAGAGGACAAATAAACAGCATGAGTGGACAGTCACAGGTCTTAGCAATTGCACTGAAACAAACTTAAAGGGAAATCAATTTTTTTAACTTTTATTTAACGAATATAGATTTCCACAGTACAGCTTATGGATTACATTGGCTCCCCCCCATGACTTCCCTCCCACCCGCAACCCTCCCCTTTCCCACTCTCTCTCCCCTTCCATTCTTATCAAGATTCATTTTCAATTCTCTTTATATACAGAAGATCAATTTAGTATACATTTAGTAAAGATTTCAACAGTTTGCACCCACATAGAAACACAAAGTGAAAAATGCTGTTTGAGTACTCATTATAGCATTAAATCACAATGTACAGCACATTAAGGACAGAGATCCTGAATGAGGAGTAAGTGCACAGTGACTCCTGTTGTTGACTTTACAAATTGACACTCCTGTTTATGGCATCAGTAATCTCCCTATGCTCCAGTCATGAGTTTCCAAGGCTATGGAAGCCTTTTGAGTTCACCGACTCTTATCTTGTTTAGACAAGGTCATAGTCAAAGTGGAAGTTCTCTCCTCCCTTCAGAGAAAGGAAGGGAAATCAATTTTAATATTTATTTTAGTGACACAGGGGCAAGATGGCAGAATATGAAGGGAGCACACTGATAGTCCAGGAAGAGACAGTTTAATAAAAGTGGAGATACTGCAGGTTCAAGGAAGAGTTGGGGAAGAAACAGCAGAGGAAACTCTTCTGGAAATAGTGATTCACAGTGGACCTGCGTGGAGGGCACGGGAGCCAACCCCAGAATCTATGCACCAGCACTGGAATGTGAAGTGAGCCGAACCTCAGTAGCCCGAGACACCGGAGGGAAACCAGAAGGAGGAGCCTAGAGGGAACGAAGCTTGAAGCCCTGTGGGGGAAAGTTCACCAGGCTAACTAGAGGAGAGAGGAAATAAAAAAAGGGA